CATTTCTATAGAGAAAGGCATTCAGGATTTTACAGGATCACCATCATGGTGCTACAGATTTATGAGGCGATGTGGTCTTACTATGCGGACCAAAACTAGAATTGCACAAAAAATGCCAGAAGAATATGAATCTAAAATTCTATCCTTTCATAAATTTGTTATTGATGCTAGGAAGAAAAATGGCTTTGAAATTGGCCAGATTGGGAATATGGATGAAGTCCCGCTAACCTTTGATGTGCCATCTAATAGGACTGTAGATCTAAAGGGTGCCAAAACCATCAGTGTGAAAACTTCAGGGCATGAGAAGACCCATTACACAACTGTGTTATCCTGCTGTGCCGATGGAACCAAATTGCCACCCATGTTGATTTTCAAAAGGAAAACATTTCCAAAAGAAGTGATTCCGCGAGGAGTTGTTGTACATGTACATGAGAAAGGATGGATGGATGAAAATGGAATGAGAATATGGGTTGAAAAGGTCTGGTCCAAACGTCCTGGAGGACTTCTGAAAAAACCTGCCTTATTAGTGCTTGACCATTTTAGAGCACATATTAGTGAACCAATTAAAAAGTGTTTCAAAGAAGTGAAGACTCATCTAGCTGTAATTCCCAGAGGTCTTACCAGCCAGTTGCAACCTCTTGATGTTTCCATCAACAAGCCATTTAAGGTCTTAATGAGAGAAGAGTGGAACAAATGGATGACTGCTGGTAATCATGATCTGACACCTACTAGACGAATGAAGAGGCCTACCATCACTCAAGTTTGTGAATGGGTGAAAACATCATGGGACTCAGTGAAGGAGGAGATTGTTGTACAGTCATTCAAAAAATGTGGCATTAGCAATGCCTTAGATGAAACTGAGGACAATATCTTAAGCGAAGAAAGTGATGTCAGTGATTGTGAGCAAATGAGCTTCCGAAATTCTGACTCTAGTGATGGTGAGTTCTTGGGGTTTCCAGAAACCTAGAGTACACAAACCTTTAAGTCTCTCCATTTATTAATGACAGTGGTAATGGTTCTTAATGCCACTGTTGACTGCTGTTCACTTTACATGGTTCAAATGTTATTCTGTTATAGTTTATTAAATATTTTATTACACTATTTGGTTCAGAATATTTTTTCCAGTTTTCCTCCTCTAAAAATTAGGTGTGTCTTAAGTTCAGGTGCATCTTATGGAGCGAAAAATACGGTATAACATTTAAACAGTCCTGTACTTGAAGGGAAACTCTTAATCTTGCATCCCACATTTGAAAATTGTTCTGGTTCAGCTTTGGAATTGCAAATATGCCACTGCTGTTACTTACACCCAGCTGAAAACGTTGAGTACATGTGTTAGCTTCTGTAGTAGTAGTGGGAACTGTGGACATCTTGATACTAATAAATGTTGTCTTCTAATAAGGCAAAAGTTAAATTCTCTTCTCCTCTCCACAACTTCACTCTCAATCCACTGAAGATTATTTGCATATAAAAATTGCTGTTACTTTAAAAATGTTTTGCAGTCTCTTATCAAAATTTACTCCCTTTAGTCAGAGGCAAAAAACAATGCATTCTCCAACTTTAAAAATGAAAAGAATGTTTGCCAAAAGCACTCTGTTCAATTATCTGAAGTTCAAAAAGGAAAAAGGAAAAAAGTTCAAAAAACACAGCAACAAGTTTCAGTGTCTCAAAAGCATCTTATCAAGAATGCAACCATCGAAACCATGCTCTGCTACCAAATTTGTTGGAAAAAATAAGGAGGCTTTGAGACACTGGGATAGTTTATATATTTTATCTAGTTCTCTTAGGGAAGGGTAAATGGGAGTCCCTGAAAAAATAAACAAAGTGCTAAAACTATATTACATAACACACCAAAAGCAGTAAAAAGAGTAAGTGACGTCAGTTTAGGTAACGCCAGCAAACACAGACAGCTTCTGCCTCGCTCTGTAACTTCCCACCATCAAGGAAGGGTGTGAAAGACGGTAATGGAGAGGAGGTTTTATAAGCCTAATTAGTTACAGGAAACAGATGAGGTCCTTTCGATGTTAACCCTTAGTGAGAAAGCATGTTACAGATTGACAGATATCAACAGTATCCACGTGACACTCGATCTATCCAGCCCACACCTAGTTAGCTTGCTAATCAGGATATCGATATCATGGGGCACTTTGTCAAAAACTTTGCTGAAGTCAAGATGTACTGTGTCGACAGTATTCCCTCTGTCTATCAGAGAGGTGACCTGCTCAAAAAAGTAGATCAAATTAGTTTGGCAGGATTTCTTTTTGACAAATCCGTGTTGGCTTATAGTTATTACTGCATTGTTTTCTAGGTGCCTCCACAATGAGCGCTTTATGATCTGTTCCAGAATTTTGCCTGGGACTGATGTCAGGCTGATTGGCCTGTAGTTCCCAGGCTCCTCTTTTTCGCCCTTTTTGAAGATATGGACAGCATTGGTCCTCCTCCATTTCCCATGATTTCAAGAAAATAATGGATAGCGGTTCTGAGAGTTCTTCAGCCAGTTCCTTCAGTACTCTCGGCTGCAGTTCATCTTGCTCTGGGGATCTGAACTTGTTCAAGGTGGTAAGGTATGCCTTGACTATTTGTTTATCACTCTCCAGCTGCAATCTTGCCCCCCCTCCCTTTTGCACTTCCAATTTGTTTGGAAGTTCATAGTCTGTCTTATGGGAAAAGACTGAACTAAAACAGGAATTGAGCACCTCTGCCTTTTCTTTGTCCTCTGTTATCCTTTTTTCATCTCCATTGCGGAGCTATGCCACTATGTCTTTTGATTGGCTTTTGCTACTCACATACCTGAAGAATGCTTATTTAATTGCTTTTAGTGTCACTAGCTAACCTCAGCCCATTCTCAGCTTTTGCCCTCCTAATGCCATCACTGCATTTCCTTTCTACTTCCCTGTACTCATCCTTGGTGGCCTGGTGAATGAAGAACACACAGTATACTATTTAAACCGTGCTCCTGGAAGCAGAAATTTATAAGTAGTTCTCATCCTCACAGAAACAGGGGATGTTTCTGTGGTAAACATTATTTTATTGGAAAGACATTCTGATTTTCTAATAAACCAGCTGTTCGAACTTGCTATAGTCTGTCATAATGTCTCTAGGTGAAGGTAAACCATAACAACACTTACACTAAGATGAATGGAAAGGACATAGAGAGCCAACATTTGCAATGACATGATTCTATCAAGAATGGAGCACTGGGAATAGTGACGGAACTTTGCTTGTTTGAAAATCTAGTCAAGTCTGGTTTTACTGTTAATAGAGATTATCTACTTTTTTCATCCCTGCCATAACCAGTGGTCCCCAACCTTTTCCCAAACACGGACCAGTTGGGGGGGGGAGTGGCACACTCGTGTAGGCACATGTCACATATGTGCATGGTGGGTGTGTCATGCTCGTGGGCAGTGGAGTGCACTCACACGCATGCACGGGACACCCTTGTAGAGGGAGCAAGAGATATGTGTCCACGGCCCAGTCCTGCCTAAGCCGTGGACTGCTGCTGGGTTATAGACTGGGGTTTGGGGACCTCTGATATACTCTACAGCAACATCTGGTCACTGAAGACAAATTAAATATTTCAAATCCAGATTAACTGGAAAGGTTCTTTAGGATTTTTTGAAAAATGGCAAACTGACGCACAAAAGGATCACACTTCTAAACCATAACTTTTATAAGGGTTTCCAAGCATAAGTAATTTCTCACCATCGGCCTTAACTTACCTACATTCTTCATCACTTTTAATGAGTGGGTCTGAACCAACTGTACCTACGAGGAACTTCGGACTGAGCAGTGGCAAGCGGACATGTTGCAATACCTGTTATTAAACAGAAATATATTGATACACCATCACCACAGACAGGCAGACACAAATATACTCCCTCTCATTGCAGATCTAGTGTGCTTTACGTTTATAGCAGCTTTTGCAACGGAAGTGAGTCTAATATACCAAATAATAAGCAGGAAAACAAAGTTGAAATAGCTAAGCCTCTGAACTGACTGAGCTAGATTTTTCTCACAGCCTTAAGTTCTTCACTCAGTGTGAGCTGCTTTGGCTTGAAAGCACAAAGCCCTGCTAGAGAATAAATTTCTATGATAATGAAAAAAGGTGCCTGAGGAGTAAAAGGAGAGAGTCCTCAACTTCCTCCAGTTCTCAGAAAGGAAACTTACAAGCTATTTAGCTAGCTTTTCTTCAACCATAGAATAAACTTGTCACTCACTTACAGACACAGTTACACATACATAAAACTTTAATCACATTTGGAGGTAGTAAGTGGCAGGGCCTAAAGTTGATTATTAGTCCATCTACAATAGATGTTGGATCCATCAGACTTTGGTAAATCAACACTTATGTAAATCCCACTAATGCAATAGGTCTAACTCCAGATTTCACATATTTGGATTTAGGCTTAAATTCTTCACAACAATTCCAACATTGGGCAGAATATTGGAAGGGAGAAGCAGGCATGCTTCCAACAGGTAAAATATTGCCAGTATGCTTTTCTTATAAATCTCTAAGACTAAAATTGAAATGGACAATTAAAGCTGGGTTTCCAGAGGAAGAACCAGAAGAAACTCCTCTTCTTCCTTGTCTTCGTTTACTGTGTTAGTCTGGATCGCAAGCACACTTGGCTTTGTTTTTGCCCATTTTACTGAGGGGGACTAACAGCACTCTAAGTAGAGTCATGTATAGCTTGGTAAAGTCAGGCCTTTCTACATACCCTTATAAAAGAAATCATGAAAGAAGTGGAACTGGAGGTTACCTGAGGAAGCTGAGGTCTCCTCTCTTGAATACTATATTTCACCCATGCCATCACTGCATTGAACACCTGCTCTTCACTCCGTACATTCAATTCATCACTGGATATTATGTCAATGAGCTGATTGGCCGGAAGCAGCATGAACTCCTCACTTTCCATTACCTGTATGGATAGGCAAGCAAACAGAATTATAGAAAGCTTTTAGAGCAACCAGTAGCATCTGGAAACACAGGTCCTCTTCAGCAAACCACTCAGGCATTTCTGTTTGTGCAAATTTAGGCACAGCTTGCTCACACAGAAATTTTCAAGCCTCAGAAGGGAAACATTAAATATCAATCAATGCAAGTTTGGAATGGTGAACAGGATTACTTGTTCTGCATCTGTACAGTTTCACTTCATATCCTTGTGAGGAGTGAGTTCTCAGTGGTCTTGGGCTGCCTATTACCACAGTCTTAGTTTTCCTATCTGTATTGTGTACTGACAGCAAAATATAAAACTGTTGAAGATCAATGAGATAAAGCAATAAGCGATTTCAAGTCTTCCACATTCATCTTCTAAATTAAGAAAAACAACATTTGGTGATGGATGGAAGGGAAAATACATTTGAATGGGGATCAAACCCAGCTAAGAAAGCAGTAACACCTGTAAGACAGACAAAGTCACAACACATATAATCTCAAATAAAATTACCCAGAGAAGAGTAGATAAACTTGAAAAGCCTTCCTAGCCTGCGTTTGCAGCAGATGACAGTGTTTCTGAGGACTAGGAGATGGACTCATTTGATCCTACCCCTCTTTCATTTGCTCTCTCTAAATATACACACAGAGACCATGAGTGTAAATAAACCACAGAGGGAATCAGAGACTTCAAAAAACTGCCAAGGACTACACTGGTGTGAAATACAAGCCTCTGACAAGCTACAAACATATTCATACATACCTGTGAATCTCTGGGGAGGACACAAGTTTCTCATAAGACAAGAAAGGATCCAAATAAGACTTTTACCTTTCTCACATCCAGAACTAAAGAAAGACTGTGATGGGACAATACACTAGATACTTTATCAGCCTGTAAGACCTTCCCAGAGCAACTTGCTGTCCATGAGAAGCCATAACTATCATGCAAGCCTTGCAGAAACTGATTCATCACTACATGAGCAGGCCACCAACCTTTTGAAAAACATGCTGTTTTTAATCTCTGCCAGGACCAAAATACAGTACTCTAACTCAGCGGCGACAAGTTCCACTGGTCTGGACTTAACCCAAACTGCAAGAACAAAGCAGCAATTTGCAACAGATGGAAAAGGCCCAATCAGTTTCTTGTTATAGACTGCATACATGGGGGTATTTGTGTTCGCCACAGGTGGACATAATGACGGTCCAGCCCGCCGGGGCTGGACTCTCCACTCACCCTTCCACTGCTGTAGGCTCCGCGTTCCCTTCCTATCACTCTGGAGCTCATGGTTGGCTAGTCACTCCTGGCAGGAGGCGGGACAATGAGCCTCCCTGCCAGGTCAAAGAGTGGCTCACAGACGGGGTGCTCCACAGCAATAGGGAGGGAACGCGGAGCCCGCAGCAGCAGCAGAAGAAGAAGGGTGAGTTATGCCCAACTTGTTACGTCCACCTGTGTGGGAGTATATCTCTAATAGAATTGGTGGCGCAGTGGTTAAAACGCTGTACTGCAGCTAAAACTGTGCTCACGACCTGGGGTTCAAATCCCAGGTAGCCGGCTCAAGGTTGACTCAGCCTTCTATCCTTCCGAGGTCGGTAAAATGAGTACCCAGCTTGCTGGGGGGG